TCTTCTCTCTCTCTCTCTCTCTCTCTCTCTCTCTCTCTCTCTCTCTCTCTCTCTCTCTCTCTTGTGCGAGCTCTTAGTCTCATTGATTTGGCTACCGTAGGGCTGCGGGCCTGGCTTGCTGTTTTGGACCCACGAGCTCCTAGATGGAACTTTTGTGCCGTGCCAAACAAGGCCTTCTGTTTTCGGAGGACCCTCTTGGGTTCAGTGATCAGGGATAGCTTGAATAATCAGAAGCTTCCTTGCCTCCAAGTACCACACTATCATATTCGGTATTCTGATTGGGTTCAGTGATCAAGGATAGCTTGAATAATCAGAAGCTTTCTTGCCTCCAAGTACCACACTATGATATGGAGCCCAAGAATAAAGGTTTCAAGAAGTGAGGGGAAATTTTGGCATAGGATCCCCACTACCCCTGCTTGCTTCAGCTGTATCTAAATCTAATGGCCGAAGTCGCTGGGTACCGCTCGTATCGGGACAGTCCTGCGCGAAGCAGTCACGGGCTTCACGAATTAGTCACAGGATGGGCCTGGCTTGCTGTTTTGGGCCCACGAGCTCCTAGATGCAAATTTTGTTCCATGCCAAACAAGGTACTCTCATTCTCGGTTCACCCCTTCCTTTTTCGGAGAAGGACCCTCCTCGTCGGCCGCGTTTCCGCACTCTCACTCATTCGGTTCACCCGTTCTTTTCTCGGAGAAGGACCCTACTCGTCGACCGCGATTCGATGCCCTCATAAAGATTGACTTTGCCTTCGTTTGCTCTCCTTCTTCGTCGTCTCCTTTTTTCTCTTGAGGTTGTCAATTTCCTGTCTCAACTAACAAATCTTTTTCGCCTTTCATAATTGCTTGACCTTGTCAAGCACCGTTTCGCAGACCAACTGCATGTTGGTCCTGACCTCTTCCCCCATATGGCTGATGATAGAATTCTTCGCCTTCTTATCATTCAGTACTTTCTGCTCATCCTTCTTCAACTTAGCCTCCTCGTCTGCCTCATGTTTTGCTCCTCCATCTGTTCTATAGAGTTGTATGAGCTTGTCAATCTTGTCGTCTCGTTCCCTGTCTTGGAAACCTCGAGGTCCAGAATATCACTTGCTGTTGTTATATTCTTCATAACTTCCCAAACTATTGAAACGTTTGTTCCCTTCGTTGTATCCCCCGATGCCATATATGCCAGTTGAAGAAGGCGAAGCCTGCGTCCCTTGATACGGTACGATGGCATTGGAACTTGTCACCGAAAGTATACCGCAGTCAGACTCCAGTTGGGAATCGGACCCATACGCTGTCCCTGCAACCAGATCCGCTGCATTAGGGATATCGCACCGTTGGCATTCCATCGCAAAGTGTCTTGGCAGATTAAAGTGATAGCAGACATTGCTGACACATCTTTGAAACCACCAAGAACCTATGAATCCCCCATGGAGGCAGCCACCCACGTGCGCGGCCGGGGCCGCGACCCCGTGGCCATGGCCGCACGGCTGCGGATTTTTGAGGTTGTGTGGCGGCCAGTAGGAGGGGGTGGCGGGGCTGGTTTTTGTATTGGGGTTCCACAACTCCAACCCCACCCCCTTGAAGGAAAAAGAAATTAAAAAATGAATTTCAAGAGGGGGTGGGTTGGGGTTGAAAATGGGGAAAAAAAAGAAAAAAAACTTGATTGGTTGATTGATTGATTGATGCGGATGTGGTTTGTTGATTGTTTGATTGATGCGGATGTGGTTTGTTAATTGATTGATTGATCGGGATTGATTACTTCATTGATTAATTGGTGGGGGAGGGGTCGCCAGTGACCCCTCCACCACACACACGCACACACACACACAGACACACAGAGAGTCAGGTGAGTTTGGCGACGAGTTGATGCCCTAAGGCAGGCAACTCTGGCAACTGGAGTGAGTGCCAGGATAGAATCAAGAAGTGAACCACGAATCTCAATTCTCGTTGACCCAAGCAAGTGCACACACAGCCCAAGGCCAAGGGCACAATTCTTTGACACAGCCAATCATGGTATTATCTATAGAATCATCCAGATAAAGCGACCATATGCTCGGCGGAACCAACACACACACACACACACACATGCACGTGCGTGCACACACATGGGGTGCGGCAGAAAAACGAGTGTGGCATTGTATATTTTCATGTTCTAGTGGTAGATTTATTCGATTTTGTCATCCTATCGATGGAAGTACATGAGGCCAGCTGCGAGGTTGAACACTTACCTGCTCTCTCTCTCTCTCTCTCTCTCTCTCTCTCTCTC